CACTTCCTGTCTCTCATCCTCACCATTTCTTGTCTCTCATCCTCACTGCTTCCTGTCATCCTCACCGTTTCCTGTCTCCTCTGCAGGTATTGGGGGCTTCATGGTGCGTCAGCGAGGAGGTAAAGCCAGTCTGAGCAGAAAGGACTCCACAGAGATGCTTCTTAGTCGAGATCCAGGTGAGTCACCTGTGGCCCTGCCCCCTTCATCATTATTGCATGTAGGTGTAGGAGAAACCCCATCAGGTGTTGACTCTATACCTGACAGGTGTGCTGGATGCTGAAGTTTCCATGGAAACGGTGTCTGCTACAGAGCAGGTAATAGAGAAGGTGAAGAAGAGGTACAGGAAGAAGAAAACGAAGCTAGAGGAGGCGTTCCCATCATACCTGCAGGTAACACACACACACACACACACACACACACACACACACACACACACACTGCTCTGTGACATCCTGCGCTCTGATTGACTGTCTCCTTCCAGGAAGCCTTCTTCGGTCGGGATCTCCTGGACCGCAGCCGCCACCAGGATGGGAAGGCGGGGCCAGAGACGCCAGGTTATAACCAGTTGGCATCGGGTGACGTGAAAGTTAACGCCCACAGACTACATGGCCCCTCCCCCTTTGAACAGCCTGTGGATGCCATGGCAACCAACAGGAAGCAGGGAACATTACGTGAGTTTCTGATTGGTAGTTTTTTTATCATCATCATTTCTTCATCTCACGTTGGTTCAGCCTGACTGCTGGGTTCTAATGGGTAAGGTCACCTCGGCCCGATCTGTCAGGTTAGGATCGTGTTGTGGTGGTTCTGACAGAACCATGTAGACCAGATGAGTCCAGAACAGTCACGAGTTCAGTTTCAGGCTGAATTTGAAGGAGAACATCTCATGTTCATGTGTGTGTGATGTCATGTGTGGTACCATCCAGCGGTGTCGGAGGAGACTCTGGTGGATCTGTCTGACGTTCTGAACACCGATCCACACATTCTGGCCATGGGACACACAGGTATCTTCATCCTCTTCCTCCTCCTCACTGCTCTGCTGCAGCTGGAGGTTCTGACCTTCTCATGATGGCTGTATGTGTTTGGTTCCAGGTGAGTTCCAGGTGGAGCGCTCCCCCTCTCCATTTGGTAAGGCTCCACTGGACCTCCTCTTCCTCCTCAGCTCCTCTTCCTTGTTTCTGTTAGTTATTGATGCAGTCTTCTTCTCTGATCATTCAACGTTCGTTTCTTCTTCTGCAGATTTAACAGCCTGGTCCTCCTGCTGACCTCCTGTCTGTCTCCTTTCTCCTCCACCTGTCTAACCTCTGCATGTTTTCCTGTCTGTCTCCAACAGCTGGGATGGACATCAGCTCCCTGTCTTCTGAGCCAGCTGAAGGCTGTGGGCGTGGCCAGAGGACGGCACAGGAGGAGCCTCTGGACGCCATCCTGAGTCCTGAGCTGGATAAGATGGTGACAGACGGTGGGTCTAATGAGAGGAACAGGAAGTGATTGGTGGTGAACATCTGACTCACTCTCTGGTGTTATGTTTCAGGAGCCATCCTCAGCCGACTCTACAAGATCCCAGGTAATACTGACATGCCCACATCACCTGGCAGGACGCTGCAGGATCACATGACAGGAAAAGACTTTGACCATCCTGTGTGTTTTCCAGAGCTGGAGGGGAAGGACGTGGAGGAGGTCTTCACTGCTGTTCTGAGTCCAAACAGCAGCAGCAACCAGCCGGATCTGAGGAAGACTCACAGCTCAGGTACACAACACACACTCTGGTGATGATCAGGTGTATTGATCAGGTGTATTGATCAAGTGTTTGTCTCCACCCCACAGCTGCAGCCTTCCCTCGTCTGCATCTGATGAACGGGCTAATGCCTGCTGTTCCTCACCTCCCCAACGCTCCCAAAGCCTCTGGTGCTGTCCCAGATCCTGCCGGGTTCAGGGTTCCTGTTCCTCAGAGCTCCGCCCACTGCTCAGCCTCAGCCAATCAGGTGTCAGCAGCCTCAGAAAGTGAGCAGGACGTTCTGTCCACGGCTCAGAAGAGCATGTTGAAGTGGGAGAAGGAAGAGAGCCTGGGAGAGCTGGCCACAGTCGCTCCAGTTCTGTACTGTAACACAAACTTCCCCCAGCTGAGGCAGCAGTACCCCGGTACACACACACACACACACACACACACACACACACACACGGAAATGCACATTGTGTGTCAGATAATCAGATAAATTGAAGCTTGGTTGTGTTTGTGCGTCAGACTGGCCCACTCGGGTGAAGCAGATCACCAAACTGTGGAGGAAGGCCAGCTCCCAGGACAGAGCCCCCTATGTGGTGAGTTCCTCCTCATCCAACTGGGTCAGAACATTCAGGTTCTCCCATGTTCTCAGTAACTGATTACTGGGCTTCATGGGTAAATAAACCAAATTGTCAGCAGCAAAATGTCAAACTTGGTCCTGTGTTATCCTGATAGAAGCTAATATAAACATGACTAACCGTAAACATTTATCTATCACACAACATTATTTGAAACGTTCACTGGTGCTGATTCTGCACCATGGTGACCTCTGACCCCTGATTGGACATCCTCAGATCAGTGCACCTTTCAGTCATGTCTCGCTTCTTCTCTGCAGCAAAAAGCTCGAGACAACCGAGCGGCTCAACGCATCAACAAGGTTCAGTTGTGCAATGACCCTCTGAAGCACCTGCAGCCTGCGCAGCCGCAGCCGCAGCTGCCACCACAGCAGCTGCCACCACAGCAGCTGCCACCACAGCAGCTGCCACCACAGCAGCTGGTGCCCTACGACCACGTTTCCCTGGAGACGGAGATGTCCCTGAAGGACCCGCTGAGGCCCAGAGAGTCTGAGCAGGAGCAGGAGTGGAAGCTGAGACAGGTGAGTCTGTGGAAACAACTTGGATATCCTGAAACCAGCCGCTGATGTCATAGCTGATACTAAGACTCCTCCTCCTCCTCTTCCTCTTTAGCAAATGCGTCAGAAGAGTAAGCAGCTGGCAAAGATTGAGGCCACGCAGAAACTGGAGCAGGTGAAAAATGAGCAGCGCCAACAACAGCTCCGCCTGTCCGGACAACTCTCCCCAGAGGCCACCGCCCACCAGCCTGTTGTCGGGGGCAATGCCTCGCCCCAACAGCAGCCACCGAGTAGGCAGCACCTCCTCCAGCAGGGGGCCTCAGGGTTGACCAATGATGTGTTCCTGAGACCACAAGCCCCTCCCCCCTCAGGCGTCTCCTCGCTCCCCTCCTCGCCGCTGCACCAGCTCCCATCCTCCCCACTAATGTTCTCCCCATCTTCCTCCCGCCCCTCCTCCCCCTGGGACCCCTATATTAAAGGTGCAGGGACTCCTCAGTCCTCCTCCCATTCAGGAGGTGCTCCGGCTCATCAGCAGCATCGCCTCACTTCCCTTAGCACCTCCCCTGCTCATGATGCAGTGGGCTCCCCCACACCGTCTCCAGACTCCAAAATCTGCGACTCCTCACAGTCCGGTAACTACTCCTCTCTCTATCCCTCTGGGTCCTCCTCTGGTTCCTCATCTGGTGTTCTCCTCCATCTATCTGCTCCTTTCTGTCTGTCCATATGGTTCTTATAACTCCTGGGTTGTTCTCCCTCAGAGCTCCTCCTCAGGTGTTCTTGTACAGTAGCTCCTTGTTTATCGCAGGGATCAGTACCCTGAAGACCTGCGATAAGTGAAAACCGCCAAGTAGGAATAGTAATACTATTAATAAGTAGTAATTTATTTTAGTATTCATAT